GTCTTGCCTTGCCGTGTCGTGCCGGGAGATGCGGTGCGGTGCGGTGCGGTGCGGCACCGTTGCTCCTTCCCCCGCGAGGAAACGTCTTCGCTGCTTCCCTTGCTTGTCCTCTCTCCCACCGGCGGATTGAGGGCCGACTCCCCGCCCGCGCAGCTCTTGGCCGAGGGGCTCTCGACTACCCCCCGCCAAGGGCCGCCCGCAGCGGGGCAGCGACCGGTCACGGCTCTCAGCGGGGCTGAGCGCCCTGTGCGCTACACCCCCACCTTTCTGCCGCATACCCTCCCGAAAAAGCTCCCAGCCCGCAAAAACGAGTATGGGAAAGGCAGACAATTATGTATCCAGGGGCTGATCTTTATCTGCTACTTAATGACTTGCCAAGTACTTATCACTTCCCAGACTAGGAACTGTCGCTTCATTCTAATGTAAATAAACCCTTTATACAAATAAGTCTCTTCTCTCGTCTGCTGAAGCAATAGGTGGAGATGAAGCAGGATGGAGCTGCAAAGGTTCATACTCCCAGCTTCGTTGGTCCCTGTGTGTTTTCATTTATATGAATCCAGAGAATCCAATGGATTCAGCCCCCCCTCCACCCTCGCTGCCCCTCCCAAAGAAAGGAAGGAAATAAGGGAGGAAAAGGAACACAAAAGGGACAAGGGACCTTGGAAAGTAAAAAAAAAAAATAAAATAAAAAAAAAAATTTAAAAAAATAATAAAAAAAATCCACGTCTGGCTATCTTCTTGTCAGTTTAGGAGTGAGTGTTTAACACCCCCAACCCCTCAGATGTCAGTGTTTTACCATCGGATGGCAAAGCTAGAGAACCTACCAAATTAAAGGTTTCTTGCGCACTTGCGGGTTTTAGTGTGTGTGTGTGCGTGTGTGTGCGTGATAGTATTTTACAGAAATTACTTTACAGCAGAAACAACACAAGTAGTTTCCCACAGCCTGGTTTTTGTTCTTATTCCAAGTGCTGTGACATCTCTGGGACACAACCTGTGTCACAGAGTCGAATTATATGTACGACCGCGATAATTATCGTGGGAAGATGAAATGCGCGTGTTCTGATCTCTTTATGGTCTCAGTTCTTCCTTGTAAATTAAATGCAAAATTCACTTTTAGATACCGAACGTGAAATTAAAGTATTTCTCTCGTGAATTGCAAGAAGCCGTTGACTGCTGCCTCATTTACTGCAAAGGATAATTTATTTCACAGTCAAGAACGAGAGGCTAAAGATGCCACAGGGAATGGAGTGCTTATTTTCGTATTAAGTTGTGTTATTTATGTCTCAAGATAAAAGACGCCCTGGATTGGAAAACTACCTCTGCTTATTTACGGAATTGTTAACCCACGTTAATAAAACAACAATCATTCCTGTTTGCTTAACTGAGTGCCACGCTAAACAGACTTTGCATTTAGAGCTCGGCTTAATTGCACAGGCTTGAGATTGCAGAGGTGCTGGTGCAAGGACGGGAGGGAGGGATTGCTGTCACCCATGTCCAGCGGCTGTAAACAGAGAGGGAACTTTCAGCACAATAGATTTTTCTACTGGTGAAGCACAGATTTGATACGATCACTTCCCTCCCTGCCCCTCGAAAGGATGTCAGCGGTTTTCTCCTGCGGTGTCGCCCGCTGTTTAAAGAACATGGAAAGCTGCATCCTGAGATGCAAAGAGCCGGGCTGGGTGGCTGGTTTCAGAGGGATACTGCTATGATGCTGAAGCCAAAAGAAAGGGAGAGAAGCGAAGCTCTGACTACGTTAAAACATAAACAGCCCGTGGCTGGAAAGCAGTTCACCCCCAGGTCTTCGAGAGGAGCGAGGACAACGCACAGCAAATTGTTTGTGTCCACCTGGGCTTTGCCCAGGTCAAATGGTAGTTCTTCCGTCTACAGCTCCGATGTCATCTTTCTTTCTGACATATTCCTAAATAAGGTTGCAAGTGACCACACACGCGAAGCCTCGGAGGGTTTCAAGACAAGCGCGGCTCCCCTGGCCTGGGGCTGCCCATCGGGGCTCCCGTCCCTCCGCCGGCGCCCCTCACCCGGCTTCGGGCAGGAGGAGGCAGCGGCCGTGTCCGCCGCCCGGGGCCCTGCGGGACAGGGGGTCCTCAGAGGCCGAGGCTGCTGACGTCCTGCTCCGCTCTTGCGGCAGACCCAGGTGGGGCACGTCAAAGGCGGCTGTCCCGCCCGGGGGCCAGGCTGGGTAAGGCGGCGGAGGTAGGGTGCTGGGGAGAGGTAGCTCTGGCGTGCGGCAGGGTGGGTAAAGCCCAAGCGCCGAGGACTCTTTCTGGGTGGTATCCAAAGACAGCAGGGGGAAAACTGATCTTTCAGCCTCCCTAAAACCGCTGCTTCCCCACAACACGCACACACACAACCCCCAAATCCCTCTATGAACCTTCACAATGGTGACTTTTGTGCCTCGAGTAGAGAAACCAAAGTCCTGCTGGGTTGAGGTCTGTAACTTAACACACTTTAGTTGCGTCATTTCGCAATTAAAGCATCGGAGTGGCTAGTGCAAAATATATTAAATGCAAAATACGTCGGATTAATGCCCCCCCTCCCTTCCCTGTGCTGAAACTTCTCGGTGTTACTCCAACTTCTGCCTGTGAAACAGCTTCGCTACCGTCAACACTGTCGAGATAAAATGAAAAAGTCATTGAAGGCTCCGAGCCTCGGAGCGGCACGTTACAGACGCTCAAGGGAGTGAGAAGAAAGCCCATGGAAATTGTTTTTTAAAAGCAGGTAACACCGTGGGAAAACCGGATGACCTGGGCTGCATGGAAACGTGCTAAAATGCCCTTTTTCTTTCTCTTTTTTTTCCATTTTTTTTCCCCCTCGGCAAAACAAGAAAGAGGTTTTGAAAATATAAAGTGTTGGAATTGACATCTAGTCCAGTGCTTGCACATTTATTAATTCTGCCGTGATGGGAGGAAAGGGAAAAAAGTGTAATTAGGCAGGAGCAGGTGAAAAATTCCAGATGATGAAATACAACAGGCTAAACAGGATAAGGTATTCACCATTAAAGGACTGACATTTATTACCAAAAGGAGACCCGTTACGTTTGAATATGAAAAGAAGCAGATATTAAGCTACATACATTACCTTCTTCACATGACTTCAATCTCATTTAAAATACTTTTTTTTTTTTAATAACCAACTCTTTCAGAAGAAAAGCTGTACTTGCTAAAATACCACCAGGCAAATGATGCACCTTTAACACGCTTTAAAGACACGATCCCCAAAGCAATCGATCACAGTAAAAAGTGTGGAAAGGAGGTTTCAAATTAGTGAAGCCAAAAGAGTCTTTTGACGTATTTGTAGTGTCACAAGATCAGGATGGGTAATTCATCTCACAAATACGCCACACACACGTTTTTCCCATACAAATTCCACCTCTTAAAATAGATTTCAGCTTGATCCTTTCAGCTGATCTATTATTAACGCTAAGGAAGTTTCAGAGGTATGATCTATAAAGAAGACTGAAGAGTACTGAGTTGTATTGCGAATATCTAAAGTATTGGTAAAATAAACTTCAGTGCAAAAACGTATGCGAATTTCTCCATGTTTAAGGTATGGAAAGCTTCTTTCCTAAATACAAGAGAAAATGGAAAGTAAAATTGAAAAAATAAATAACCAAGCCCTTACTTTTTGCTCCCTTTGAGCTCCCGTTAAAGTCCTATTCTGATTAGAGCCCAAATATTATTTCAGATAGTTAGACGAAGGCAAAGGAAATCAAATCGTAGTAGTAGAACCGGCCAAGCAGTTTAAGGGACATTCATTTTGTTGTGTTTTTTTTTCTCTCTCTTTTTTTTTTTTTCTTTCCTTTCGACACACCTGACAAAGCACAGAATCCACTCCGAAGCAGACTAGGAACAAAATTATGCCCTCTCCGTCTCAAATGAATAAAGAAATAAAGCAAGGATCCACTCTCCATGTCACATCCCATATGGTCTGTAGAGATTACCTGAAGGGCGAACTACAGACCCCGTTCAAAGAAACGCGCCCCTGTTTATAGACAGCAGAGGCAGCGGGCGCTTCATTTGCAGAGAGAGAAAAAAGTCCTTGGTGGCTGATTAATAAAAAGGAACTTTATAGGACTCGTCAAAACCCTGTCAAACGGAGGAATGCAACCTCTTCAGAAGTGTTTGGGCAGGCAGGCAGCTGATTGCAGGCAGGGTGGTGCTGCTGGGGCAGGGGCATCCCACACCCCCCCCCTCCGCACACACACTTTCCTCTCCGTCCCCGCGGGAGAGCTCCTGGGCGGGGAGGGCAGGGAGCGAACCGGCACACCGGCGTGGAGCCGGCCCGCCGACACGGGCGGCAGCCTGGAGGGAATGGAAGAAGGGAGTCCGACCGGAGCGTGCGGAGAAAACACCCCAAGGAGTTTACAAAAAAAAAAAAAAAAAAAAAAAAAAAAAAAAAAAAAAAAAAAAAAAAAAAAAGAAAAAAAAAAAAAAAGAGAGAGAAGTAACATTTCGGAGGAAACACGCGTGGCAGAGCGAGGTGTGCACCTGGGTGGGAAGACCTCCGGGGGAAGCACATACACATACATATGTATACACATAGGTGCAGGCATGCACGTCGTGCCTGTACCCGGGGTGCGTGTGCGAAGGTGACCGCGCACGTAAGTAAGCGAGTGGGTGGGCGAGCGAGGTACGAGGCAGTAGGGGTCGGACGGGTCGTCGCGCAAAATGCGCGGGGGTATCCCCGCGGGTGCGCAGACGCCCTTGCGAACCCGGGGCTCCGCGGCGCTCAAGGCGTCCGCGTGTGCCGGCGAGCGTGTGTGGCCGGTCCCCGAGCGCTACAACTCCCGAGGCTGCTGCTGCAGATTTTTTTTTTCCTTTTTTTTTTTTTTTTTTTTTTCTCTCGCTCGTTTTTTTTTTCCCTCCTCATTCAGAGTCCCGGGTGTCTCCCAGCCCTCATTGGCCGCCTCAGCTCAGTGGGGCGGAGCTGGGCTGCCTGCAAAAGGAGGAAAAGAAAAAAAAAAATGAGAGGAAAAAAAAAAAAAAGGAGACCGAGAGAGGAGAGGGAGGGAAAAAAAAAGGAGAAAACTGTAAGTGCGTAAAAAAGTTCTCGCCGTGGTGACGGATGCTCAAAAGTTCAGGAGTTTTTCCGATGCTTCCCAAAGCAGCCTGCGACTGAAAAAGAGACTGAAAAAAGCGAGAGGGAGAGAGAGAGGGAGACTTTGCACTGGAGATCGGGAAGGTGGATTTTTTTTCTTCTGCTCGCTTAAAAAAAGCCAACAAAACACATCCCTCTACTTTTGTCCCTCCTTTGCAGACAACTTGTTGCAGATCCCCGTGGAACAAGGAACTGGGAGCGTGGGAGCCTCTTTGCAAAGGTTTTATTTTCTTAATACTCTTTCTGCATTTGGAAATTGCTTTCTCCGCTGCGATTATTTTTTTTCTCTCCGCCGTTTTCTTTTTTAAAACATTTTTTCCCTTTTTTGCACCCCTCCTTTTCCCCCTCCTTTTTTGATTGTTTTTTTTCCCCTCCGCGTGGAGCGCGGGAAGCTCGCCGGTGGGCTTTCCTGGGCGAAGAAGAGGAGACTTTCGGCGCTGCCGTCGTTATTCTTTCTCCCTTTTACCGCGCTCCGCCGGGGGGGTGGGGGGGTGGGGGTTGCCCGGCCGCCCGGTCCAGCTCGGTCCGCGGAGCGGCGGAGGGGTGGAGGGGGAAGGGACGCGCTGTTTGGTCCGGCGGGGAGGGTGGGGGAAAGCTGACGGGAGGACATGCAGGCTCGCTACTCCGTGTCCAGTCCCAACTCCCTGGGAGTGGTGCCGTACCTCGGCGGAGAGCAGAGCTACTACCGCGCCGCGGCGGCGGCGGCCGGCGGGGGCTACACGGCCATGCCGGCTCCGATGAGCATGTACTCCCACCCGGCCCACGAGCAGTACCCGGCTGGCATGGCCCGAGCCTACGGGCCCTACACGCCACCGCCGCAGCCCAAGGATATGGTGAAGCCGCCCTACAGCTACATCGCCCTCATCACCATGGCCATCCAGAACGCGCCCGATAAGAAGATCACCTTGAACGGGATCTACCAGTTCATCATGGAGCGGTTCCCTTTCTACCGGGACAACAAGCAGGGCTGGCAGAACAGCATCCGCCACAATCTCTCCCTCAACGAGTGCTTCGTCAAGGTGCCCCGAGACGACAAGAAGCCCGGCAAGGGCAGCTACTGGACCCTCGACCCCGACTCCTACAACATGTTCGAGAACGGCAGCTTCCTCCGCCGCCGTCGCCGCTTCAAGAAGAAGGACGCCGTCAAGGACAAGGAGGAGAAGGACCGCCTGCACCTCAAGGACCATGCCCCGCCGCGCCCGCCGCCGCCCGCTGCCGCCGCCGCCGAGCCCGAGGGCGGCCCCGCCGGGGGCAGCGCCGCGCCGCCGCCGCCGCCGCCCGTCCGCATCCAGGACATCAAGACAGAGAACGGCACAGCTTCGCCGCCGCAGGCCGTGTCTCCCCCCGGCGCCGCGCCGCCGCTCGGCGCTGTGCCCAAGATCGAGAGCCCCGACAGCAGCAGCAGCCTCTCCAGCGGCGGCAGCCCCCGCAGCACCCTCCCCTCCAGCCGCTCCCTCAGCCTGGAGGCCCCCGAGCCCCCGCCGCCGCCCCCGCCACCACCCCCGCCGCCGCCCCACCACCACGGCCCGGGCTTCAGCGTGGACAACATCATGACCTCGCTTCGGGGCTCGCCTCAGGCCGCCGCCGAGCTGGGCGCCGGCCTCCTGGCCCCTGCCGCCGCCGCGCCGCGCACCGGCATCCCGCCCGCGCTGTCCCTCGGCGGCTACTCGCCGGGACACAGCTCCGTCTACGGCTCGCCCTGCGGCCAAGCGGCCGCCGGCTCCGCCGCCGGCACCTACCACTGCAACATGCAGGCCATGAGCCTGTACGCGGCGGCGGGCGGCGCCGACCGGCCCGGCCACCTGCCCGCCGCCGCCAGTCCCGCCGAGGACCCGCTGCCCGACTACTCGATGCCCTCGGGCGGCGGCGGCGGTGGCGGCGGTGGGGCGGGGGGCGGCGGCGGCGGCGGCGGGGCGCTGGGGCACGGCGGGCTGGGCGGCGCGGCGGGCGGCCACCAGGAGGGGCACCACCCGCACCCGCACCAGGGCCGCCTGGCCTCCTGGTACCTCAACCAGGCGGCAGCGGCGGCGGCGGCAGCGGCGGCGGCGGCGGGGGAGCTGGGCCCGCTGGCGGGCGCGGCGGGCTACGCGGGGCCGCAGCAGGGCTTCGCCGCCGCCCCGCGGGAGGTGTTCGAGGCGCCGCGGTTGGGGCTCAGCGCCTCGCCGGGAGGCGGCGGCGGCGGGGCAGGAGGGGGCGGCGGCGGCAGCGGCGGCGGCGGGGCGGGGGGCGGCGGGAGCTGTCAGATGGCCTTCCCCGGCAGCCAGCCGCTCTACCGCTCCTCCGGGGCCTTCGTCTACGACTGCGGCAAGTTCTGAGCGCGCCCCGTCGCGGGGACACCGCGGGGACTCTGCTCCGCACCGCGCCTGCGGAGGGAAGTGAGCGCATCGCGAAAAGCTTTTGTACAGAGACAGCCCCAAAAGCATGTCTTGGTTTGTTAAAGGACAGTGTTACTCCAATAACACGTAAGTTTTTGTGTTTTTTTTAATTGCTTTGAAAAATACTTTTTTTCCCCCCACCCCGCGCTCTTCCCCGTCTCTTAAGGTATTGTCATTTAAAAGGGAGCGAAAAGTCCAGCGTAGAGTACCAGCTTCTTCCCTCCTCCCCTTCCTCTTCTACAAGGACTTGTTTTAAAATGTAAATTGCGACATAGTAATTTATTTTTAATTTGTAGTTGGATGTTGTGGACCAAACGCCAGAAAGTGTTTCCCCCTTTCCTGAAAAATGACGTTAAAATTGACTGAAACGCTGATTTTTTTTTCACTATATAAAAAGGGAGACTGTATTAATCTTATTCTATCAATATTTTTCTTTTTTTTTTGTTGAAAATATTCTGAAGGTATTGCATTGTTTGTTTATTAATAAATTACCATTCAGTTGGAATGATACACGTCTGTATATTTTAATACTTCCATTTAGAGACAGAGAGAAAAAGAGAGGGAAAAGGGATTTCATAACTAACTTTGTCGCTGGAACAGCTTGTTCCCCTCCGCACAAATTCCAAAGACCATTTAGGAACTGCCAGGTCGAAAAATCCCTTTTCAGTCTCTTCTGCAATATGTTCCACTTAGTCAGCTCGCCTTATCCGCTAGGAAAAAAATACTTTCCCATGGCAGCTCTGAGTTGGCAAATAAACAAACACGTTTTCTTAGCAATTAATGGGCAAGACCTGGAAACATTTGACCATACACAGTAGTATGACAGCATTACGGCTTTTTAAATAATATGCCTATGTAAGGATATATTAAGCGATAACTCCGAGGTAGAACTGCATGCAGTAGATCCCTGCCCTTGTGTAACTGTGTATATATATCGAACTATTTATTGGTCTGTGTGTGTTTCAAATGTATTTATATCTAGGATTTACATATGTACCTATATTTAAAGAAGGATTAGGTAGTTATTTATAGCTTCATATACGCATTGCATATTTTTCTAAATTCCACAGTGTATAGCAGATGCCAAATCTGTACTACGTTTATTCTTGAATATAATGCAAGCATATAAATCACTGCGTTTTAGAATTAATAGCAATGCGTGCAATCAGATCTGTGAAGCTGCTTCTGTAATATATATTTTTAAAGTACTATTTTATTTCAGGGGAAAAAAAAAGTAGTTGGATTAAAGGGTACTTGTACACTTTTACACCTTTATAGCTCTACATTTCTCCTGTCCTTCAGGGACTCTACTGGTCCGTATCTTAATCGTGCGGACTGAAATTATTTTAAAACTATTTTGTGTGGGCGAATTTTTCGCATACAGTTGTTTGGGGATTGTTTTACTTTTTTTTCCTACTTCCCCCCTCCTTTTTCCTTCCCCCCTCCTTTTTCCTTAAATCGGAAAAAAAATGTATTACCAGGGTAGCAGATGAGTGCTGCACAGACTGACATCTTGTCAGATCAAGGATCTTACCTTCTGGACAATTTGCTATTAAGAACCTATGAGCCATAGGGGTCACCTTGCCCTTTTGTAAGTAACAAAATGCGATAAATTCATTAACTTAAAAGACTCAGCCTTGTCAGTCAGACTTGGGAATAAGTTTACTTGATTACAGATATTTAAGGCCTAAAATTTGCTTTCAAGGTAGTACAGTTTCCTATCAGAAGCTCTTATCTAAAGGCAACACTTAGCAGAAATTGCTGTTGCATTGTTAAGGGTTATATTGTAAATAAATATAAAGGTATTTACAGTTCAACCTTATTACCTCACTTTTGAGCTGTGCTTCCCTTCCAAAGCAATAATCAGAGGACACCTTCAGCAGATCGAATGAACATGGGGAAGTGTGTGTCATTTTATAAAACGTTGGCTTAGGATATGTTTATGTAAGTATAGCATAGTCTTTGCTTTTTCGTGCTAGTACTTCTAAAAAAAAAATTTGCCTTATTTATATGTATTTGTTTGCTAAGCTGGGTAAGAGAAACTCAAATGCTCCATCGTCCGGTTGTGGTAAAGCTGAAGAGAACGACGAGCAAAGGCTGAGCGCCTTCGCTCCGGGGGCACGTTTTAAATGCTGCTCCCCGTTTTTCACCACTAAAGGGAAATAAAATGTTACCTATTCTCGGTCAGGCTCACTTTCTGCTCCCCACTGTCCCTCTCCCGGTAGCGAGTGGGGGGCAGCTAAACTGGCGGTTCCCGCCCACCGGCACTCCTTGTGAGCGGAGCTGCCGGGCCAGGGGCACGGCGGGGCTTTCACTGCCTCGCACTTTCGATCCTTCTCCTTGGAGAGGGGACCGTCAGCGGGTCAGCTCCCTCTGCCCCGGCAGATGGGTTTGCCGGGGGGTAGGTGCGTAATAAGGCCAATCCTGCCCCTCGTCATGTATTTAAAGTAAAGTTTAAAGAAGGCAGAGGGTAGAGGCGATTGCGTGTGCTATTTGCCTGTTATTTTTGTTGGGATCAGGCGCCGGCTTTCCTGTAGTTTGGGTTTTCTCAGCGGTCTCCAGCGGTAGGGTGTTTGTGGCAAAAAAAAAAAAAAAAACAAACAGGGAGGGAAGCAGTTGTTAGCCCGGCTTGTTTAATAACCCGTTGCATTGTCAGTGGTGCTGCTCGGTTAGGGGAGCTGGGGGAACTGTGCGTAACTTGAACGAGTGCGGTGTGTAATTACTGCTAATGCCCGGGGCGGTCCGCGGGCCTCCGCAGCGGGGTGGCCGCGTAACTTGCGCTACCCGTGGCCAAGGCTTCAAAAGGGGCGGGTGGAGTAGGCTCGGCGAGCTGGGGGGGGAGGGGGCGGCTCATAGTCAGGGAGGGGGCAAAGGGAAATCTCCTGCTCGGGCGCAGGTAGGTTATGTCGGGATCCTCTTCCCCCAGAGGGAATCTCTTTCCTGAAGTGACTGCGTGGTCGTAGCGGAGGTCACCTCCTGGTTCTCAGTGCGATGGGCCGGCTCACGGCACACGCGTGTTTCTGCTTTAGTTTTAAAATAATTATTCTTACCATAATCATAACTTTTTTTTTTCTTCTCCTCCTCCGCACAGAAATTGATCACAACGAAAATAAGATTAGCAGTGCTAAGGGTCCCCCGGTAGGCAGTGAAAAGTGCGGGCTTGGCCGCTGGAGGTGCCTGCCGGGCGCGCAGGCCAGTGCCGCTGGTCACTGCGCAGCACTGCACGGATGGGGACGTGCAGCTCCGGGCTCCGCCGGGCCGGAGCCTTCGGTATGAGGCGTTGCTGTTGCTGCTGCTGCTGAGATGGGGAAAGGCCGGGCGGTCTTGCTATAAACCTTCCCGGGTTGGGGCAGCGCAGCTGTGGGACACGGAGTGAGGGTTTCTGACCGCGGGCTGCCCTCCTGTTTGTGAAGCACGAACTGCGGGCAGCGGCGCCCAGCGTGGGGCAGGAACCCTTGTTCGTCTTGTGCTTCCCTGCTTTTGAGAGCAAAAGGCAAACCCGAGTGTCCCTTCTGACCTGTGATTGTCTCCCAGCAGAATTGGGCCTACCACGAACGCCAAAAGAGATGCGGTGCAACCTTGCGCAGCAGTGGGCACAAGACACGTCCAGGCAGCAACTGAGATGTGTCCCCATAAGGCCTCGACATCTGTGTTGGCAGCCCCTACAGCGAACAGGGACGCTCGGCCCCAGCCGTGCCTGCAGAGCAGTCCCTTAGGTGCCAGGTTAGCATGGGGCTTTTGCTGTATTTTTACCTCAAACTGATTTTTTCCCCAAATTATTGCTTTGTTTTTATGAAAAAACTTTTTTTTTTTAATTTGAGGGACCATTGGTTTCTTACTTGTATTTCTTCATCTGTCACTTAAACTGTGGAAAATGTAGAGGAGAATATTCTCCTAAGTTTCCTCCTTAGAATTTCTTCTTAAAGCGATTACAGTTCATATTGTGTTCTGCAAAGGTCATAACCAAAAATAGAAGAGAACTGCACACAAATAGTCAAGAGAACATTGATTAAACCCTCTTCCCTATCTCCACAGGCCAGGTTAGATGGAGAACATGGTCAGGCTGTTGTGGATGGAGATCTTTAAAGGAGTGTTTCCCAACTGGAGTTTTACCATATCTGGGGCCCTTTCTGAAGCCACGAAGTTCGGGGAAGGTGCTTGGAAGTTAGCATGAGAGTATTTTCATACTTAGGTTCAACTTCATAACACTATCGGTAACTCCGGGGCTGCAGCGTATGACCGACCGGATGTATGCTGTCCTGATTCCCCTCAAAAATACGCTGCTGGAGCGGGACGAGCTTAAAGCTTCGCCTTGGCCTCTGGAGACTTGGCTTGGGCGTTGCGAGCGAGTCGCACGCGGCGCAGGCGAAGGCCGGTGCGGGTTTTGCGGGAGGCAGAGCGGCGCTGCCGCTGCGCGGGAAGGAGCGGGGGCGCACGGCCGGGGGGCTGCGCGCCCCTCCGCGCCCACGCGAAGATGAGCGTGAGGGCAGAGTGAGTGCGCGGTCTGTATCACCTCGTTTGACTACGCAGGCGAAAGCGTGCAGCGCCGAGGCGCGCACATGGCGCCGCTGCGCAGGTACAGGAGCGCTGCAGTCCGGCCCCGGGGAAGCTCTCCGCCGCCCACTTCCCAAAATCGCTCATTTCAACAGCGACGGCTAATTGAACTTTAGATTTCAATTAATTTGCCTGGTAACGTAATTTAAGCTCCTCGGCGTACTAAGTCTATTTTTCCCCGTCTCCCTATGTCAGGGGCCGGGTGGTTTGGCAAAATGTTTCCGTCATTTTAACATGCGCTGATGTTTTGGTTCGTTTGGTTGTTTTTTTTTGTTTTTTTGTTTTTGTTTTTGTTTTAGAAGCGGAGGGCGGTGAGGAGCGCGGCGGTGAGCGCCGTCGGGGTGTCCGGGGCTGATGCGGGGGCACAGGTAGCGCGCCCAGGCGCACAGCCGGGGTAGGGCGAGCTCAGGTTTACCCGGCAAGCTGCGCAAGAGGCTGGCGGGCCTGAACTGTGGCGTACGGGAGCTGCTTGCTGCTCCCCGAGGGCGCGCGTGGATTTCGATCCATCGGCATTTCGGTCACAAGCTCACGGGCTGGGAGGACGCCAGTTACCCTTCCCGTATACCCGTATAGCTTTCCCCCACCTCTTTCCTTTTTTTTTTTTCTTTCTTTTCCCTTCTGACTCGCCCCCCTTCACCCCCCGGCGGCTTGTCTGTGGTGAATCCGCCCCAAAGGTGGTGTGGTGCCGCGGTGAAGGGAGCTCTCCTGGTTTAATTACGCTGGGGCTCATAAAGCCATTCGCTTCTTTCCAAAGTAATAAACAAACGTCGCGTTAGGTCAAGATTGATGGTGTCCATGCAATAAAAACGGGCCAGGTCAGGAAGGAATAAAATTCAATCAGAGCTCGCAGAATCATTTTTCAGGGGACAGAAAGACAGAAAAGGAGACGGGGGTCAAGGGAGACGATGTCGCCATTCACAACACACCAGCCGGGAGGGAGGAGGGCGAGGGTTAACGAGCGATTGTTTTTTATCAAGCGGAGACTAATTGAACGAAACAATAGCTGTATCGGCGGGGGAGGTCCGGCTCCTTGCCCGGTAGTTGCGGGGCCGGGCGGCAGCCCCGCATTTCGGGGGGCACCGGGGACCCCTGGCAGCACTGCTGTACCCTCCATTTTCCCTTGAAATTATGCACACGCACCTGGGGCAACAGGAAGGTCTTGTCCTAAGCCGGGGGCTGGAAGTGCGGATAGGGGTAGCGAACAGTCGGGTGTCTAGGGGAGGAGAGCGGGAGATCCCCTCATTTCGCGGTAAGGCGTCCTAAAAGGCCTGCTTGGACGGCTGGAGGAGTAAGCCCCAGCTTTCCCGAGGGTAACTCTGGCTGGTCCGACCGAAATAGGAGCCCTCGGTGTCACTTGCAACTAACTCAGAGTTTGGTTTCGGTGGTAACGCTGTTGGCGTCCACCGATTTGGCAAGCGGCTGCGAGATGGTATTTGCCGGACACCCGACGGCTGGGGGGTGTTCAGCAGTGTTCAAGGAGAAGACACCAGCACAGCTCCGCGGGGAAGCCCCTACGGTCCGAAGGGCATGTGTTCGTCCCGGCCTGTTTCACCCGTGTTTTGTGCGGCGCGGGTCGGGGAAGCAGCCGGCAAAGGCTCCCTCCCTTCATTTACCAGGCAGCGTCTTTGGTGGAGGAGGATTTCTCCCTCCTCCCCCAAGCCAACGCGTCTATTGCACACATCTCCGCG